TTTGGTTTTTCTCTGGTACCGGGAACTGAACTCACGACCTTGCGCTTGCCAGGCAGGCACTTTGCCGCTGAGCTAAATCCCCAGCCTCCCCAAAAGCATTCTTTGTAAGACCAGGCATGTAGTAAACACTCAACTGCCATTATTATTACATTAAATTTAGGCTTCAGAGAGCTGGAGTAACCCGCCCAAAATATGTGGCAGAGCTGGAATCAAAAGTTCACACTTGACTCCAAAACGAGGGAGTGCACTTTCCCACCAAGTGATCATTCCCCCCAAATACGGAGTACCCAGGCTGAGGAAGGACAACCCCTGACTGTCCGCTGTATCAGGAAAGGTCTAGAACTAAAACCTACACAAAGTCCGAAACGCCACCAGCCAGTTTCAGCTTGCTCTCATCAAACACAGAAACATTTGCAGAGTGTTTACGAGAAACAAAAACACATTCCTGTTTCTTTCCTCAGGAAGCCGTTCCCTTCCAGTGAAGTCCACATAAGCCAGAAAGAGGGAAGGGGCGTAAAGGGATTTGGATTAATATGCCTGGACTGTCCATAGTTATAAGTAAAAATTATGAAAAGGGAGAATCCAGAAACAAAAACAAATTTAAAAAAAAAAATCTACCCAATAGTTAATTTCCAGAAATTAACAAGGCTGAAATAAGAAGCTCTTCCAAAGTTTTTTTTTTTTTTTTTGGTACTGGGAACTGAACTCAGGACCTTGCACTTGCCAGGCAGGCGCTTGTGCCACTGAGCTACATCCCCAGCCCATGTCTCACTTTCAAGCACCATTGCATTTTAAATTATCTCATGGTACTTACCTTACCACCCTTTGCAATCTTTATGCTTATTTTTCATACCCTATGAAGCCACCTGTTCTGCTGCATGCCTCTCTCTCTTACAGAACAGGACTGACACGTGAGACCCGCGGGATATTGCAAACAGGGCAGCGCATGGTGTTTGAAGCTAGGTGATCGAAGGGCATTGTGGACTTTGCTTCCCTCCTCTGGATTGTTGGTTCTCAGGTAAGCTGCTCGCTGAACTGTGACGTCACTGAACCAGCTGGATGGAAGGTTCCATGCTTACAGGAACTGAATATTCTGCCAAGAGCAGCAAACAACGGAATCCCTTCTGCCAACAGACGAGTGATCGCGCCACCTTAGAAAGAATTCCTGCTGCCGTAGTGACACCTTCAGTTCACGCAGCCCTTGCCAGCACCTTCAATATGACTCACAAAATAAAAAGATAAAAAGATAAAAAGCATTCAGCTGGGCTACTTCAGTATTCTTGATGCTCAGAAAATGTGGGAGGTAACACTCAGAATATTTTACGAGTTACTTATTAAGCTAAGCATGTCCTTTGTCTTGTATTACTTAACTTCAACAACAGTCTTATATTTGACAGATGAAAATTGTAGAACTTTGCCATTATGCTGAGAAGATTTGCTTAATGACTAAGCCAAAATTCAAATATCATCAATTTCTCCGTTAACCCAAATTCTGCGTTAAGAATTTGAACTAACAACAACTTGCTTTAAGCAATGTATTTTTTCTGAGGTAGTACCTACCGAAAACTCTTATATTCTGTGACATATAATATAAACTAATACATCATTTGGGTATACAAAGTTATTCATATTTATCAAAATATAAGTGCCAAAATGAACATTTGCATTTTATGTGTACATAAAAGTGACAAATCAGCAGGTACTGGAAATATTGGTGAAATTCTGTGTGATGCCCCCTGTTGACCTAAATCTTGGTGGATGGCATGCAATGGAATAATAGAGGATCCAGAAATGCATTCTATAAAATATCAGAAATGACAATTATGTGCCTGAGAGAAAGAATTTCCATGCACTTTATGTTCAAAAGTGGTGGAAATATACAAAATGTTATTGAAAGTAAAAACATAGAAAAAAGTAAATAATTTTTCAAAATTTAATTCAGTTCTCAATCATAGCTGAATATTTCTGATGAGATTTTTTATATAAGTACACATTAAAGAGATCAATACAAATATACATGTGAATATTTAGAAAGAATTAAATTGTATAATGCAATCAGAAATGCATATAGAAAATGTTATTTTGTCAGTTTGGATAAAGAAATCATCCAAAGAGTAAGAAATATTTTTTGTTTGTGTTTCTATGTGTGTGTGAACTTGTGCACATTATGTCTGAGTTCATGATAGTATGGAGTATTTGAATAAAATATATGTTATAAAATGAAGACATATTGCTCTTACATCTAACAAACTTATCCATTAATTTAGAACACAAATAAAATAAAAACATTGAAATATTTCATTTTAGCTGCATATTTTATGTCAAGAGATCTCTTTTTCCTAGATGATATGTTAATAAAAAATGAATCATATACATAAAATTATAACAAAACAAATTCTTAGCCAATAGCAAATTTGAATTTTATGACTAATATTGTAGAAAGGCAAATTTGTCTACGTAGGCATTTAAAGAATACTTTCAAATCATCAGATACTTGTCAGAGAACTAAAAATACCAAGCATAAATGGTAAATCTAACCCTGTGGAACACATTGTATCATTTATTTAGTTAAAGAGGAAAGTGTAAGCCACTTCTGAAACATCAGAGATTATCGATCAGGGCCTCTGATGTGGTGAGTAAAGCAGAGACTCCTTGAGTTGGTAAGCCTAAGAGATGAGTGACTTAATCAATGAAGAATCAAGTGAGGTGCCAGCAAATTTGAAGAGTTATTTTGGTTCAGTCAGGTGCAACTGGAATCCATCAAAAACTAATCTAATGAAACTAGCTGAAAGCACTACTAAAACTAGGATAGCCTTTTGAAGTGAGCACATACTTTTACTGACAGATCTGTCATGTTAGCTCATCTAGCTTTAAAAGAGTACCACCCCTATCAAATAGGTAAAGATTGCTAGGGCAAGTGGTGAGTGACAAATGAGCCTTTTAAGAACACAGCCATAATCCAGTGTGTCTTAGACAAAGATATAAGGAAGCCTAGTACTAAGCATATATATGCTTGGGTTAAGCAATTACTCATCAATTTTTTTTTAAAATTAGGGATTCACCTTTTAATTTTACTTTGAACATTTTATAAATCACTTATATTAAAATTTTATAAATGCATATTTGTGTTATTATGTATACTATAAAATAGTATATGTTTACATTTATCTATGTTGTTTATAATATGCATATAATCACCTTCATGGTGTTTGTTCAAATGATTACGACCATTTTATCTGATCTGTGTCAGATTTGAAATATAGTGAGAAGGTGAAATAAAATAACCCAGTTCACTATTCCAGTATTATAAGAAATTACATTTAAATGCTATGTTGAAGAAACTGGACAATAAATAAAGATACATACTAAAGTCCACCTATTGTTTATTAAATATATTGTCAAGATGATATAAAAGCTATTTATATGAAGTATAAAAACTGCTACATGTATTATTTATAGATGAAACTTGTCTAATATGTTAAGTTCTAAATTTTATCAATTTTACCATAAAGTGGGCCTCCTTTTTTAATACATTCAACTTACATAGGTATTCATTACCCAGTAAAGAAAATTGAACTATTTGCATGAAACCTTTTCATTTTTTATAGGTTATCACCCCAATTTTGTATAGGTGAAATTAATGATTTAAAAGTGCTAATCTTTAATAGACACGAAGATAGCAAAATATCCTTCAGTTTGTGACACATGTAGTTCCTTTTTGGGTCTTTTACTCTTTTTTCTTCATGTATTATTGATTCATTTAGGTGCATTTAACCTTTCACTTTAGCTTTGGAAACTTTTTTAAAGTAATGGTAATTTACTGCTCATCAGAGAAGTAGAAGTCAGTCAAGTAATGAGATATCACCTCACACCAGTTAGAATGGCTACTCAGAAAATGATCAAAAATTAAAAAGGTCGGGAAGAATATGAAGAAAACAAAACTTGTACATACCCTTAATGGAAATGCAAATTCATACACGTACTATGGAAAACAATGGAGAGATCTCTTTAAAAGACTAAATGTAGATCATCCATATGATCCAACAACTTCACTACATGTACATCCAAAAAAAAGTAGCACTGCTGTAACTGGTGGTTATTATGTTAGCAAGCCAGACACAGAGAGACTAATATTTTTGTTCTCAGGCATTTGTGGAAGTTAAATAGTTGGTCTCATGGGAGTAAAGGTAGAGCCATGGTCAGTAGACTCTGGGAAGTGTGGAGAAGTGGGGCAATGCATCAAGGTTAAATAAAGGTTGCCAAGATGGTTAGAAGAGAGCTGTTACTGATTTTCTGTAGCACACGGGGATAGCTACTTATAACAATCTCTGTGAAAGTTTCCAACATGCAGAAAGGACTAATATTCAAGGATATGGAAGTGCTTATTTTCAATAGTATGATTACACATCACACACATATAATAAATTATCATATTGTGCTCCATCATTAGCTAGAGATATCATGTCTCAATAAAAATAGAAAAAATTTACATTTGTGTGGGAAGTTGTTGTATAAGGATTTTAAAAGTTGAACTGATAACTATATATTTTTTGGTATTTTGATGCTCCTAGGGAACAATACTCTCAGAATTGCTTTGATTACAGTATTTAGTATTCAGCAGAAAAAAGCAAAAGACTGACATGCATAACACCTTTTCCTTTTGCCTTAATAAATTTCTCCTTATACCACGGAGTGTTCTCTACCCCAACTCTGTCTAATACTTTGAGATTGAACATCATGAGTTTAACCTCAGTGTTAGTAAACCACATTTGTACCTAAATTTTCTCATTTCTCTCTAGAAAGCTGGAGCAGTGGGCATGATGCTTCTTTTCAAAATACATCACTTCAGGGGGCCAACGTGACTCATTTTCAAGGGCTTTTTGAAATAATTTTACAAGAAAATGATATTGTCTTATTTTAAGCATTTTTTAATTGGAAGAGGCACCTAGTGTTATCTTCTTATTGATTTCAATTTTATCAGCATAATCATTTCATGTAACCCTTATTACATTTAGGCCCAGAAGATAATACTGTTTTTGAAGGACATAACAATATTTACTGAGGTAGTTCAGTGGGTAAGATCATGGACTGTTGGACAATGCAGTCAAGGTAACGTGTTTTGTCTTTTAGACTTAGATTATATTTGTCTTACGATGCAACATGTACTTTTCACCAGGTATCAATAAATAAAATATTTTACACCTATCTACATATATACTTGAAATATATATCTGAATACAAAATATATCTGAAGTACAAGTGTAGAGTGCTCACAAAAACATTTGATTAGAAAAATATATTTTTTTAATTTTCTGAGGATTGATACATAATTAGACTGAAATACATTTAGTACAAATGATTGCATTGCCTGTCCAACAAAAGACACCAACCTTTGCAGAGAAGCAAAAACAAAGGCCTCTCTGTGATGACCCCTACTGTGACAGAAGTACCTGTGCCATAGAAATTTAACTATTTAATCATAGATGAGGTCTGTTAAAGCATTGAATTAAAAAAGACTCATACAAAAGAAATGCTTTAGCTGGCGATTTCATTGAACACTTTTTCTTCTCTGAACCTGTTTTACTTTAAAATACACATTTTCTATCATCTAGCTAAGCATAGCAACCAGAAAGATCATTTTAAAATCTGTAAGTTCTAGTAAGATAATAGTAATAATTCAAACACCAGAACTTACAAGTGAGAATCTTTTCACTTGTCCAAATTACCTTTTCCAGGCATTAATAGAAATGTATATTCTCTTTTATGGGACTTACATAGTTGATATAAAAATCAGCTCAAAGGCATGCAAAAACTCTCCATGTAGAAAGTGGGCACACGATATCATCATTTCTGTAGCACTGACATGTTATAGGGAATATCATAACACCTGGACAATGCTCCAGAGATAATGTGGAGCTGTACAATTTGCAATATTTTGAGCTAAAAATCTTACTTTGGATCACAGTACCAGAGAAATGGCAGAATAGTATTGCTCAGACCTTGATGTCCCTAGAAACACTG